AAAACAGTAATAAAATATATTTATCAAGCTTATAGTATGTCATATGTATATTCATTTTAAAGGTTACATATGTACCTATTAGTAACAATTAATAAGAAACCAAAAATGATAAAATAAAAAATGTTATAAAGCTTGAAAGCAAAAAGTGTTCAAAGGTGCCCCCCTCTCCCCTACTACTATGTACTTAATTTGGTACAATTTGAATTGAGGGTGAACCGATAGAGTTGGAATCCTAAAACTTGGATTTAGGATCATTGTGGGGGTGTAGGATTGGGGTATGTAGGATGTTTTGGAAATTGGTACTACTGTGTACTAAATGTGGTACAATTTTAATTGTGGGCGAACAGATAGAGTTGGAATCCTGAAACCTGGTGTTAGGATCACTGTGGTGGTGTAGGATTGTGGTAAGTAGGAGGTTTTGGAAATTCGTACTACTGTGTACTAAATTTGGTACAATTTGAATTGTGAGTGAACCGATAGAGTTGTAATCCTGAAACTTGGATTTAGGGTCACCGTGGGGTTGTAGGGTTAGGGTAAGTTGGAGGTTTTGGAAATTCATACTACTGTGTGCTAAATTTGGTACAATGTGGATTGTGAGTGAACCGATAGCGTTGGAATTCTGAAACTTGGAATTAGGATCTCTGTGAAGTGTAGGTTTGGGTTAAGTAGGAAGTTTTGGAAATTCATGCTACAGTGTACAGTCATTATGGGGGTGTAGGATCGGGGTATGCAGGAAGTTTTGTTGGAAGTAGAAGGGTACGAAAAGTACTAAAATGTACCAAATATGGTACCCTTTTTATTAGCGAACGGGAAGAGCTAGAATTCTGAAATTTGGAATGTTGGTCACTGATGGAAAGTTAGAATGATGTGCAAAGGGTTTTTGGAAATTCGACCTATAAGTGTACTAAAGGTACTAAACTTTACTGAATTTACTTCCTGTTGTATATATATTGAACATATATAGCATGAATCTTGACATATGAAATGGAATACTGGTTGGGAAGTAGTGTTGATGTACGGAAATAAGTACATTCGTACTTATGTGTATAAAAAGTGTAAAATGGTACTAAATTTCGTACTATTTACATTCAGTTGAGTGTGTAGATATGGAATCTTGATAATCGGAATTAGCTTTAAAAATCGTACTTATTTGTACGAAAAGTACTAAATGGTACTAAATTTGGTGGAAGTTGGATTTAGGTGAACAGACAGAGCTGAAGTCTTCAAATTGGGAATTAAAATGACTGTTGGAATGTAGGACTGAGGTAGATTATGAAATTCGTACTTATTGGTACGAAAGGTACTATATGGTACTAAATTTAGTACAATTTGGATTTTGCTTGAAAGGATGGAACTGAAAACCTGAAATTTGGAATTAAGATTTCTGTTGAAGATTGAGCTATAGAGACATCTTTGGAAACTCGTATTTATGTGTACGAAAAGTACTAAACGGCACTAGATGGATTTGGGTGAACGGAGAGAGCTGGAAACCCATAATTTGGACTAATGGTTGATGTTTGAATATAGAATTGAGATATGGAAGCATAGTACCTATGTGTACTAAATAGTACTATATTTCGTACAACTTGATTATGTGTGAACGGATAGAGCTGGACTCCCGAATTTTTTAATTAAAATTACTGTTGGAGTGTAAGATTGACATAGTTTAGGAAATTGTTAATTATAGAAACAAAAAGTACAAAATGGGTCCGGAAATTGCAAGATTAAGCAAGTATTGGAATTTCGTACTTATGGATACGAGAAGACCTAATTGGTACTAAATATGGTACAATTCGTTTTGTGTGAGCGGGAATCCTAATATTTGGACTTAAAAATAATTTGGAACAATTTGGACTTTGGTGGAAGTAAGATTAGGATTGATGGATTGATGTAGTTTTAGAAATTCTTACCTATGAGTATGAGAATTACTAAATGGTACTAAATTTGAAACCATTTGGATTTGGTTGAATCTTGAGATTTGGAACTTAGATTACTGTTGAAGTGTAGTATTGAGCTATGGAGACAACTTTGGAAACTCGAATTTATGTGTACCAATAGTATAGAATAGAAAATTCACTAAACTTGGATAACGGAGAGAGCTGGAAACCTAAAATTTAGAATGTTGGTCATTGACAGAGAGTTAGAAAGAAGGACCAAAGGGTTTTTGGTACTAAATTTAGTGGAGGTGACGGTGTTCGAAAAGTTCTAAATGGAATTACATTTGGAACCTGTACGTTTTTGCTAAAGTGTGGATTTCGGAAAATAGTGCTTATGTGTATGAAGAGTAATTAATGGCAATAACCTTGATATTAAATGTAGGAATAGAGGTGGAATTCAGAACTATAGTACAACTAATTATACGGTATTCACCATTTCCATATGAAATATTTTTTTATTCCCTTTCCGCATACGAAGTAGCGGGTACTTTGCTAGTATAGTATAAAACATTATTATAATATTTGAATGTAGTTACACATCCACAAAGCCCGAAACCTTATGAGCCTCCATTTTAAGCCCGGGCAAAGATAATTCTATTCGATTCCGGAATAGCCCAGAGTCTCCACCGTAACCATCATATTCGTACTGAAATATTGGTAGCAGCCTATCTCCCATTGTGAACCAGCCAGCCTTACAAACTCCAAGCTGAGTTCCAAGAGAGACTCTTGCAATATGCAGAACCTAGCAATGTCCATAACTGGTCAGAGACCGGCAAACCAAAATGTGTCGATGGCACCTACACCACATGCTCCTGATCGCAACATGCCCAAAATAGAGCGCCGGCAGAATTTTTTAACCCAGTTAGGAGGTCACCCAGATATGACTATGGTGCCAACCCCGCTTGCTTATTTGTATGCCCCAATCGAAAGCAGTAAATGGCAGAGTGGTTGCGGTCGTTGCGAATCCAGAAACCACATGTTCTTCGATACCAGTCCATGGTGGCGTACTCTAATCGACGACCAGTCAAAATTACCTTTCTAGTGTCTAGAAGAGCATGCCTACAATGTGGAGGTGTATCCGTAGTCGTTCCATTGGTGCCAAATAATGAGTTGTGCAGGCTCAATAACCCACAAACTTAAATTTTATATTAATTTAAAGTGGTAGAACAGCATAGTATTTAAGAATATCTATTTAAAGCTGTATGAAAGCATAGACCATTCGAAATTCATTAGTTCTTATCGGAAAGTAAGACTATAATTCATTTTTTTTCAAGCTGTAGGATTAAAACTTTTTAAGTTTAGGAAAACAAAATTAAATTAAATAAATAAACAAAACATCACCCTTATAGCCATTATAAAATACCACTCTAATATCCATAACACCATTTTATCTCTATTACAACAACACACATTACTTATGCGATCATTAAGACAACCAACCATCTATGTTTACTCATTCCCCTATTTTAACTTCAGTGCATTTATGCAATATATAGTGACAGAATAATTCACATTCACTTCGAATCACCATATGTATAAGTGTTTCACTTTTTCATCACTGAAGTTGTTGAGAACCAGAATTAGCGAACAGTACAAGTGAAGTCGACGTGTGGCAGGTCCGCAGTTATAGTAGCTCGTTAGTCGATAACAAAAGTCTTCGCCCCCCGCCCCCTCTAATAGCCAGGTCTACGTTCGTAGCGAGCTCCACGCTCGTAGCTCGATCCCTGTATCCACCCCGCTCCAGCATCTACCTCACTCCTGTCCTATTCCCGATCCTACATATAGCCGTACCTGTATTCAATTCACTTCTGGATTAACTCACCGTAACACCCATCGCGCTTTCCAGTCGTTTCCAGCTCACTCCTCGTAATATCTTGGCCCCGTGTCATTCTTGGGTTCCCAGCCAGTTACTCCTTACTGCCTAGCTAAAAAGGCTAACAGCCGAGAGTATTTACTGAAAACCTTCAGTTGACCCTGACCGCAACAAAGCTTACTCCAGCCTTAGATAAAACTACTCGTTATAACCACTCAAAGGTAGAGTTAGTTTTGATCCATACCTTGCACCAATATTTACTATAGCACTATTTCGAACTTTGTGACTTACATTAAATATTGTAAGAAATTTACATTAAATAATAAGACGAGGATAGCACAAAATTGGAATGGGAGAAGATAGCGCCACCCAGAAGAAAATGTCAACAGCAAATAACTAAGGAACTGCACTGCACAAAACTAAAGACCAATCATCTAATTAGCTGAACGCAAAACATTAAGATAAAACAAAATTGTAATGGCAGGAGATAGCGCCACCTAAAGGAAAACAGCAACACTAAATATAAGCAACGACTCAAACCACTGCACTATGTCTAGGCTACGATAAATGGCAGTGCCATCACAAAACAATGGCAGGAAATAACACAACCTAGATGAAAATGTCTACACTTAATACTCAAGTAGACGCTGTTTCTCGGCAACGATAGATGGCAGTATCGTCAACTGGGATAGGCTACAGCCTCAAGGATTCAAGGAGACCTGCATTCAAATGAAATACATCCGAAGCCCCCTGCCATTCTAATAACTACAACAAAAAATAGGAATGACAACACCTAAAATTCAAGGAAGTGTTGTTTCTAGGCAACGATAGATGACAGCTCCATCTGCTAAGGTATGCTGCAATAAATCTATCATCTACAGAAAAATAGCAACTCTAAATAAGTAAGGACCCCATCCACTGTAAATAATAAAATTCAAGGACACGTTGTTCCTAGGCTATGATAGATGTTAGCCCCATTGAGAATAAAACATAACATAGAAATTGCCAGGGATAGCGTAAACTTGAGGAAAACGGCAACCCTGAATAAGCAAGACCCCAACCACTGCACAAAATTCAAGGTGGCGTTGTTTCTATTCAAATGTAGATGACAGTCTCACCGCCATCAGAATGCTCAATATTTGAATATTGTTGCATATTTGAATTTTTTGAAAATTGTTATCAAATGTTTTTGTCGAAAATTTATCCAGAATTTTGTTATTTTACTATTTCCGTTTATTTTGTTCTTGCAGAAACATTCGGACAAGCCTCCCTCATTGTGGCTGTGCTATTTGAAAAACAGTTGGCGGATGTTCACTTTGGGTGGTCTCTTAAAATTGTTCGGTGATTTATTTGCGGTGATTGGCCCATTGGCTATACAGCAAATTGTGCAATATATCGAAATCATGTATAGCATGCATTACGACGACGGCAACAATCGACCGGGCTCTGATGACCATCAGCAACAAGGAGGCAATAGCAACAACAATATAAGTAAGTAATGACAATAACAATACATCAATTGCCGAAACCCCAAACTAAACTCATTCCAAGAGACGTCAATTCTTCTTAGTAACACACACGCACACACTAACTTACCCACTCTATACCCCCTGTTTTCCTTCCTTCCTGTCACACTTTCTTCCTCTTCGTGTCTATTACCAATTTCATTGTGTGTCATTATAGAAAGAAGCATTAGAAGTAACCAGGCCATTAATGCCACAAAAATGGCCCAAAAGGCAATCAATGTCGTAACTGTAGCAGCATTCGATGCAGCAACAGCATCGGGATCCAATTGGCTGCCAAATACAATGTGTCCAGAATGTGCAACAAGAGATTCAGCCTGGATGCTGCCCAGTTACGACAACTTAGATAACAACTACAATGATTTTGGAAATATTAATACCGATGTGTATAATCAAATTGCCAATGGTAACGATTATAATGCAACCACAATGCCTTATGCTTCTCTTTCAGCTGCTGGTGCTTCTTCGTCGTACGCCTCCTCCTCGTCCTCCTCATACGCTTCGTCGTACTCCCCCATGGCCATGGAAGGCATAACAAGTGATAGTGAAGTGGAAATTTACTATGCCACATGGTCTGATTTAGTAACGAATGGCTGGTGCATTGCTTGGCTGGTACTGTTGGCTGCCCTGGCCCAGGGTGCCTTGTCACAGGCATCAACGCACATACTTAATATGACAGGGATTCGCATCAAGACATCACTGCAGGGTCTCATCTATCGTAAAACACTATTGTTAAATTCAGCATACATTGAAACAAATGCCAGCCACTCCTCCGCCTCGACTTCCTTCGCCAGCAGCAGTCCAGGCAACTCAATGGCAGCTACGAGGCCAAATGACTTGCAACAATCGAATGGTGATAATCATTGTAAATCGGAAAATGGTGTGAATAGTAATTGTACCACTACCACCACGACAGCGTCAAAGACTAATGCAAGTAGGTCAGATAATGATAGTCTCATCATTGATGATTCTACCAATGCCGAGGATATAAATTTACCAACAACAACAACGACATCGAAGGATAATAACAATGTTGTAAAGCCGAATGACAACAACTGTAAGTATTTCTCGAAGACATTTCAAGCAATGATAGATAATAATAAATGATAGTTGGTTCGCAAAATGGGAAATTATTACTTTAAATAGTTGTAAGGACCAGGGATTATAAGGAGCGTAGGCAATTTTATATGTCGAAAGTGATAGAAATAGCATTCTATTGTAGAATAATGTGTGATTTGGGTACGGTGAAATCAGATGTCCGCACATGGTAAAGTCAAAATGTTAATGTTATGCTGAAAACGATATCCAAGTTCTTAATTGATGGGTGCAGGAAAATTTGAATATTTAAAAGATGTATGAGGAAACAAAAATAGAAAATAAAATATATAAAATAAGCTTAAAGCTATGACCAGAACAACTAATGAAGTACTAAATCCAAATGAAATGTATCCGAAATCTCGTGACATTCTAATAACCAACCTCGGTATAGACAATATAGGAAATGCAGTAGATAGCGCCGTACAGAGGAAAATTACAATAATAAATAAGCAAGGACATCAACCACTGCACAAAATTCAAGGGAATGTGGTTTCTAGAAAACTATAGATGGCAAATTCGAACACACGCTTCGGTAGTCTGGTGGACAGTAATGGACAAAAAATGTAATGTAAAATCGTTGCAGAAAGTACTGAAAACATGCTATATAGATATATGTGGGTCAATGCGGACAACACCAACGAGAACTTTTGAGCTATATTGTATATACATCCAATTGACATCCAAATAAGATATGAATCGGCCGTCTTTAAGCCTATAGGCTATGAACGAGTGGATCGACACCAGGCACTGTAACTGTTGTTACGCAGATGGATATGGGATGTTAAGGCTATAACAGAGTGCATGAACTGGTTTAATGCAAACTCGGTTCAGAATATAATAAATATAACGACAGATAGTAAACAAGCCTTAAAAACTAACCTCTAAAACAGTTAAATCCAAACCATAAATAACTTAACGCTGCACGGTCTCATACAAATCATATGACTACCGATTAATATATGTAGGAATAATAGGAAACGAGATAGCAAATATACTCGCTAGAAGGGCGACCGATAGGCCTACAATAGATTTAAATAGTTCCAAATAGTGAGGGGACTGGGATAAACACAAACATTTTATGGGAAGACCCAAACGAGGATAAGACAAAGAAAATCTTAACACTAAGAAGCAACTGGTGTAGAGTGTGTGTAGAAGACAGCGAAACGTTAGAACATTTCCCGTGCCACTGCCAGCCTTCTCAAGCTTCCGAACACAAATGCTAGGAAATAACAAAAAACTGAATGTCTTTACTAACACAGTATAATTCCTAGACGTTTAGGGCAATGTATCTACTAATAAAAACTCAAACCAAATTATATTGATGGGTACAGTTATAAAAAGTGAAAAAGTGTGTACCATTTCCAATATCAAACTACCTCGGAACCTCGGGCAATATTTCGTGATAGTTGCAACCTCTTGACCGACTTGAGGTCAACAAATATTACTAATGTTCAGTACAGCCCTTCTAATTGCATTTCCATATTCCCTTCACCGTGGGTTCTGCGGTTATGTTCGTCTTATAATTTTGGCTTATAGATCGACTCGAAACAATTAAAAAAGTAAGTTTTCGGTCCCCTCCTTCCCAAAATTATTATCCGATCAGCGCCGAATATTATAGGCGTTGTCCTTGACCATAACTGGAACCTCATGGAACATTTCGAAGCGATCGGCGCTATATTTCCGCCCTCCAGTGTGGTAATGGGTTAATAATAATATCTGAATACTTAAGCACCTGTAAATATTTCAGTGTAACTCCCACATCCGACTACATACTATCAAGGTCTATGACCTTCAGGGTTAAATATATACGCCATAGAATACAAATTTTGACATTTTGACCCGCTAAATATTGACCGATCTTTATCAAAATAGTCAGGCTTATTCTTCGGTCCAATTCCCTTCTCCATGCACAAATGCCCGATGTTTGGGCCATAATTGCGGCCTCGGGAGCTACCCGAAAAATCGAAAAATTATGTATTTGGTCCATTTCATCCCTTAAATAGTAACGGATCTTTTCCAAAAACAATAGGGGTCTTCATTGGCCAGAACCCATCCTACATGCAAAATTTCGTGAAGATTGGTCCATAACTGTGGTCTGTATCGTGTTTACAAATTATAATGGACAGACGGACGGACATGTCTAGATCCATTCAGCTAGTTGAGATATGACGATCGGTACACTTGAAGGTGGGTCTAGGACCAATATTTCGCGGCGTTACAAACTTTTGGGGCTGAACAAAGCTATAACACCCTGACAACATAGTTGTGTAGGGTATAATGAATGTGCAAAATTTCAAAGTTATATCCAAAGAATTGCGAGCCCTATCGAGATTTCAACAGACAGACATATATATGTATGGGGTTTTAGGGGAATATTTCGTGGTGTTCCAAACGGAATGACAAATAGAAAATACACACTGCCTTGTTTATTAACCCTTTGAGTCCCGATTTTTTTCCGTGATCATAAAACGATTTTCTGTGTGCAGATTGAATGCAACTATTATAAATAGGATAGGAACAAAATTTGGCCTCGCTACATCCTTGCGTTCCGGAGATTCAGTACATTCTTTTCGAAAAATAAAAGTCCAATATCAAGAAAAGTAAATGAGATATCGGCAAAAATATCACTGAAATTACTTTTTATGTTATTTTTTTCAAGAATGAAAAATAATTTTGAGGGTTTAATTTGGACTGTATACACAATATGGTACTGTACACATTTTTGTCCTTTTCTTTATATTTAAAAGCGCATAATTTGACAAATAATTTGAATTTTTAGATTTTTCTTTTGATATGTGTCGTCCATAATCAGGTCTTGACATATGTAATCCAAAAAATATAAATTTACTAGCTGTGTATTAAATATAAGCTCTAAAATATTTTGGAGCTGTGGAACCTAACGAACCAGGAACCCATACAAAAGCAGGGAATGGAAATGGATTGGTCACATCTTAAGGCAAAAAATATCCATAGCATAACAAGAATGGCGCTTGCAAATGAAATCCCCAGGGTCGACTATGAAACACCTAGCAGCGAACAATAATTTAAGATCTTAGACAAAATAAGAGTAAGATGGTGGTGCTTGTCATGGTGGCTTGTCATGGTAGTAAGATGGTGGTGCTTGTCATGTGTCACGTCCTTCAATTTCAGATCGCCATTGAGGGTTATGTTCTCAGCGACAATTCCAATAGCTCACAAATGTGTCATCATCCCTGTATTTTGTCTACAGGCAATTGTTCCGTATTCTGGAGATTTCAGACACATTTTTCATTGGGCTGTGTTTAGATGTAGCCCTCATATAATACCCTTTTTACCCTCCAACATAATATGGATGTTGGTTTTTAGGTTTGTAATACATCAAAATAATAATTTCTGAAATTTTTCATAGATTTGTCTTTTGTCTGCCATATAGCTGAATCGATCCATTTTAGTCATAGCCCCTTAACCCTTTGTGGCCCAATGTTGCCCACAGGCAACAAAATGTTTTAGAGCTTATATTTTATATGCAGCTAGTAGTTATGTATTATTTGGATTTCATATCTCAAGACCTGATTATGGACGACACATATCAAAAGAAAAATCAAAAAAATTAAAAATTTTGGTAAAGTTATGAGCCTTTTAATATAGAGAAGAGGGTAAATTTGTGTACAGTACTAATTTGTGTATACAGTCCAAATTATTTAAATCGCTTCGTATTCAAATTGTACAAATTCTACCCTCAAAATTATTTTTGATTCTTGTAAAATTCAATATAGAAAATAATTTAAAATGATTTTTTTGAAGATTTTGCATTTGGTTTTCTTGATATTTGTCTTTAATTTTTCCGAAAGAATGTACTGTATCTCCCAAATGCAAGGATATATCGATGTCAAATTTTGTGCATATCCTATTTAGGATAGTTGCATTAAATCTGTGAACAGAAATTCGTTCTAAGATTGCGGAAAAAAATTCGGGGCTCAAAGGGTTAATAACGGTACCCCAAAAGTTTCGTTATATTGGGCACTGGCTTCAACCGAATTACCTGTAATATTGTATATCCCACAAAAAAATGTTCAATATTGGTCCAATTTTCTATTACGTATTCCCATTATATAGCAAATCTCCCTACCACAACATATTTTGGCAACCCTTTATTTTGCGGAGTTTGGGCACGTGGCTGTATTGCCATTGGGTACCAAATATCCCTGCCAAAAAGTATCAAAATTGGTCCACTTTTTACGTTATTCCCATATAACGGTGCTCTCCGTTGGTCTTTTGGGTATTTTGAGCGTCTCGAACACGTTTTTCAAAATTTATTAATATTGAATCACTTTTTGAATTAGCCAATATATTGTTCCGCCTCATTTCTGGTATTTTGAATGTTTTAGTCTTTTTACAGAAGTAACTCTATTTTGGCATTACGGGTGTAGAAAACATTTTTGGAGAACAATTTCGACATAGATCTATGTTTTGTCACGACCCCACAATACAGTACGCCCCATTTCCGTTACTATGAAGGTTTTTACCACATTTTTCCATTTTAATGGATGTAATTTGGCATTTCAGATCCTTAGTAAAAATTTTCTTACAGCGCTATATTTTCGCTATTTTGAAGGCATTTCCAGATCTTGGAGGAGGGGAAATTTTCTGTAGAAAATGTTTTAAATTACTTATTTATATAGAAGAATTTAAACGAATGTTCTCATCGAAGGGGATATAATTAGGAATTCTGGGTTCATGGATGGTGTAAAACGTTTCTGTAGGAAATATTCTATATATTTTCATGTTTTGGAACAGCCGTCATACAAAGGTCACGAACCAATTGCCAGTATTTTCAAGGTTTTATCAGAAAATTTAGATCCATATTTTTAAAGAATTTCTTGATTGTTTTTAAAAGCTCATATATATCTGAGCCATCTAATGGGATATATCTGCGCCATCTTACGAATCTCGTTTATGTTATTTGGACTATATTTAAAAAATTAGTAGAGATTTGTTCGCCTCAACTCATCTAAATCTTCACAATATTTATATCTAATAATCAAATTACCCATATTTCTCTTTTATTTCTGCTTTATAGCACTAAATGACATTGGAGCCATAACAAATTTAATGTCTGAGGATACATTAAATATAATGTCCTTCTTTTGGATTGCTCACTACGTTTGGGCCATACCATTGAAAGTAAGTATAAATCTTTGATATAAATTGCACGAAACAACAAAATTTTCTGCCAGAATCAATCTGGTAATTATCGAGAATTTGCCATACAATTGTGTTGCTACTCTTCAATTGACAATAAATAACAAATTGGACATTATTCAAAGGGGCAAAAAAAAACTTTTTTCGAAATATAGCATAAAAAATATGTAACTTAACGATCAGAAAAAAATGAAAAAAAAAAACTGATGCTGCTGATGGAGGAAGACGAGATAGTGTAATGTAAAATAAATGGTTTTAAAATGCAATTAATTTATAGTTACAAAAACCCAAGAGAGATATAGAGAGGGGGGAGGGAGTGAACAATTACTACTCAAAGGATAACGGCCACTAGGCCAGTTGATTTTATTTCAGTTTCAGTTTTTTTTGTGGCCTACAGATTTATATACCAAAAAAGTGCTACCAATGGCAACAACCAAAATGATGAATATAAAAATCTCTCTTTTAAAATTAAAATTGGAAATTCATTGTGAATTTATTTGTTGTTTCTTTGTTTTTGTTCGTCGGATGCTGGCCAGCAGTGAACGAACGAGTTTTACATAATTTATGCTCTTAAAGTGTTTGATGAATGAATTGAAATTAATATCAAGGCGATATATTGATTGACCTACATATTTTACAATACATACTTGGAAATATTTTTAAAATTGTTGAGTTGCAAGTGAAAGAGTATTGAGTTGAATGTAAAGTGGATATTAAATTTGAAAAGAAGTATTAAATTAAATTTAAGAAAATAAAACCTGGTAATTATGCTATGACAACCTGAAAATTTACTACACCTCGTTTACAACAACACGAAATATTTATACCCTTCATCACACTGTGGTACAGGGTATTATGTCTTTGTGCATATGTTTGTAACAGGTAAAAGGAAACGAGATAGACACATGGTTCCTTTTGAGAATATGTATAGAATCACTTTCTAAGTCGATTTATGCATGTCCGTCCGTCCGTCTGTCAACAAAGTACAGGTCGCATTTATGTTCCGAATTGGATGAAATTTGGCACAGGTCACTTATTCGGCCCAAGGACGAACCCTATTGAAATTGGGAAAAATCGGTTCAGATTTAGATATAGCTCCCATATATATATTTAACCGATTTAATGTAAACGGACCCTATATATCTTTCGATTTGCACGAAATTTGGTACAGCCTAATCATTTAGGTCTAGAATGATGTCTGGCAAGTTTCGTGAAAATCGGTCCAGATTAAGATATAGCTCCCACATATAGTTTCGTCCGATTTCATGTAAATGGTGCACCAAAGTCCCTATATATCCTTCGATTTGCACCAAATTTGGCATAACGTACTGAATTGAGCCTAGAATTATGTCTGCCAAGTTTCGAGAAAATCGGTCCAGATTCAGATATAGCTCCCATATATAGTTTCGTTCTTCGATTTGCACCAAATTTGGATAACGTACTGAATTGAGCCTAGAATTATGTCTGCAAAGTTTCAGTAGTGTTTGGCGGGTTATTTGGGATACCATTTGTATTTTGTTTTTGCAAAATAGTCAGGCTTAATCCCAGTTTGTTGTTTTTATAAAAAACAACTATTTATTAGTGGGGAATGTATGGCATTGTCCGCCGAGGGGTAAGGCAGGGAAGACTATAGTTTCGGATCTCGCCACTGATCCTCATCAGTTCCCTTTGTTTTTTGTTGGGATATTCTCCCCAGAAGCTATTAATAGCTTCTTTACAAAAAACCTTTCAAACCCAAATGTCTCTTGTGACAATTCGAAGTTCTTACGTTACCAGCGATACGACCCCAATGAGAAGTTCCGACCCAATGAGAAGTTCCAAGTTTCGTGAAAATCGGTCCAGATTAAGATATAGCTCCCACATATAGTTTCGTCCGATTTCATGTAAATGGTGCACCAAAGTCCCTATATATCCTTCGATTTGCACGAAATTTGAAATAACGTACTGAATTAAGGCTAGAGTGATGTCTGCCATGTTTCGAGAAAATCGGTCCATATATAGTTTCGTCCGATTTCATGTAAATGGTGCACCAAAGTCCCGGTGCAAATCGGTCCAGATTAAGATATTGCTCCCACATATAGTTTCGTCCGATTTCATGTAAATGGTGCACCAAAGTCCCTATATATCCTTCGATTTGCACGAAATTTGGCATAACGTACTGAATTGAGCATAGAATGATGTCTGCCAAGTTTCGGGAAAGTCGTAGTTGCGTTTTCTAGAAGTACAGACATAGCCCAACGGATGACCTATTTATATTTGTTGGAAGTCGATTTACATACTTTATGGATAGATCTAGGTAGATTCACATTTAGATAAATATCACATATTTTATTTCATCCAATTTCATGTTAATAGTCCTGTTTAATATACCCATAGTGGTGAAGGGTATCATATAGTCGGCCCCGTCCGACTTTACTACTTTCCTTACTGTTTTTTTCTTGTTAATGACTATGATAACACTCAGTCGATACGCTGAAGGTGCCTCTTAGGCGTTTCTTTTCCCAAAAATTATTAAAACCCTATTTAAGACGGGGTTATGACAGTTCGAAATATTCTACAAAAATATTCGCCATTAATGAATCCACAATATGTATTACCTTATTTTAGAGATAATCGAGAGAAATGTGAATATTGTTAGTTCTTGTGAATGTTAGTTGGTTCTTATCAGGTTTCATCAGCCGATGTAGTTATGCTGCTATGGATGATGGGGGAGCTTCAGAACTACATATTATTGCAAATACATCCAATATCTTGAGGAAAATTATTTTCAGCAATAAGTTCATTTCCGCCGTTAGAAGACGTTATTTTAGACCCATATCGATATGTTGTGCAAATTTGAAAAACTTAGGTTGTTGGGGCATCATTTAATTAAAATCAGACGAAAAAATATATGAATGATGTATCTTAATCTGAACCGATTTTCTCCAATTTAAATTGCGGTTCGACCTTGGTTGAAATAAATGAGCACTATCAAATTTAATCCTTTTTTATATCGTCCACCATTGTATTGATGGTATATTAAGGGAACCCCCCATTCTCGATTTTTTTATTTTTAAGATTTTAAATGGGCTGGTAAATAAATACCAATGGTTGTTAAGGTTTGTTACTTTGCACATATATATTTGAAGATTTAAAAAGGAAGAAAAATAATGTAAAATAAAAATGTTGTTGTCGTTTTGTTGTTGTTGTTTTTTGTGATCCTTATTTTTGATGGCGGGCATGATAACTCCTCACTGGAACATCGGAATCCGAAAATTCCATCGGTGTTAGAAAGAGTACATGTCTGGTTCTCGTATGTACTAGGATTATTGACTTCGCTCTAAAATTAACAAAATGGTGGACGTTTGTTTTGGAAAATCGCCTATTTTTTACCACAAACTAAGTTAAAAAATAAGGAAGTTCTTCACCGATTGGCTTTATCCTAGTTCATACGAGAGCTATACACTCCCAGCGAAACGTGTCAAAATGTGGAACCGATTGGATTATTAGTTTTTGAGTTATCGTGCCCACCATTCGCAATAGAGAAAAACGCGTTTAAAGTTTGAGAAGCCCTTTAGCCGTCACTTGATGCTGACACAATAAATCGGCTATATCTTCAAGAGTTCTTGAGATTTTCACTTGAAATTTTGTAGGGACATTCTTGAATTAGTGTATATTTGAATTAAATCAAAAATGGTGGTCCCCTTAAGTTTGTTTTTCGTTTGTAACTCATCGAAATAATCATTTCCCTCAGAGTACAATTCTATGACGATTTATACGTGTCCGTCTGCCTGTCTGTAATCATTCTAACCTCTAAACGTATAGAGTTGTCTTTTGTGTGCTGTCGGTTCACATTGAATGTATAGATAATAAATGTCACTACTCTATGGTGAAAATTTTAGGAATTTACTAATAATATTTTTTTAAACAATTAAAATTTCTGGTCGTCTGTAGTTTACGTCTATATAAGTCTATATAAAGATCAGATCCATACATTCGAAGCATAACCACACTTCCCAAGGTCATTCGATATAGTATAGTTCTACGTGGGGATGGAACTTTAATTTCAAGTAAATGCCAGTATACCTATGGTGGAGGGTATCCAAAGTTCGGCCCGAACTTAACGCTTTTCATGTGTTGTGCCATTTAGCAGTACTCGACTATAGTCTGGAGCATATTCATAACATACTCTAATATTGATATCGGTCCAAATATTGGCATAGTCCCCATATAATGATAGGCCCAGATTTTCGGTATTTTAAGTGTTTAATTTAATTCTAGATATTTCTATGTGATGTAGTTAAGATTGGTCCAACTTTGGATATCGCCACATATAACGGTTACTTTATTTTTTCACCAATCGTCGGTCCATGTTTAGGGGGTTTCAGATTTTAGGAAAATATTCTATTAAAATTTTGTGGAATATCCCATATATTATGATACCGCTATTATTTTCAATTTGGCCAGGGCAGGAACTTAACGCTATCACTTGGACTCAGAAAGTGGTTATATGCATCTCTTCAAAAGTAACCATGGGTCTATCTTGTTTCCTTTTGCCTGTTACAAACATTTGCACAAAGACATAATAGTATGCACCACAAGGTCTTGAAGGGTATGCAATTAAATCATGCATTAGTAAAAAAGTTCTTGTTCCGGGGACATAAAATTTAATTTTGTTGAGAGATGTTCAAATAAATACTATGAAAGAATCATGATAAAACGAGAAAAGCTTGAGGATCCAAGATGGCAATGTGGCTTCTGAACTTTTTACCAGAATAACTACTATAAAGTCGAGCTAAAGAACATAACCTCTTTAGGTCTGTGGATCAGTGAGGAATATATGGTAATACGTTTTGTGACGAGCTATTGCCGACTGCTTTCATTCCACCACAAGTCGGCTTTAAATTTGAAAGGAACATGTCGTAAACATATAAGTCACAATCCAAAAACCTCTGGTGTCTTCGCGACCTCAGTTCAATGGAATTCGAACGAATAAAAGCCCA